TCTTTGTTACTTTTGACGTTATTGTACCTTTGATAGAGTCAGTTTACTACATTCAAAGACATGTCTAAGTAGCATTGCCAAGAAGATAAATTTTGTGTTACTCAAAACCGCGAAGTTAAAGTGATTCAAAATGCAAAATTTTTGCAAAATTGCCGAATTTGAGTATGCACACCCCAAGTGACGAAATAAACATGTCGCGAAAATTTCATGTAATAAAGTAGCCAACCACAATGCTTGGCTAGTACAAAAAAAGGTTTTGGCTAGTAACATCTAAGTTATCACTAGCCACTTGGCTAGTAAGTTGAAAAGTTAGTGTCGAGCCCTGACACAGACAATGTACACATTTCAATTTTCTGTTCGTGTATATGTATTATGGCCAGGGGCCTCAGATCTTAAATTAAAGAAGCCAAGTCCTTCCTTGATTAAGCAGTGCTAATCTAATGGTGCTATGGCATTGCTGCTGAAACTTCTGACAGGGGAGAAGTACAATGGTGGAAACTGGTTATTTAAATCAAACTGTGAGCTCACTGTCTGACCAGATGACCTGAAAATAACAAGGATTAAGAATGAGTATATAACCAACCCTTTTGGTTGCTATGTACATGTACTCATGAACAGCATAGCCACTAGGCTAGAGAAACGGTAATTAAAAGCTTTTTGCTTAGGAAAGATGATCATGCAAGCTTGTTATTGCTGGAACCCCTTGAAATCCTGCCTACCCTCAAAATCCAGCCAAAACTTGTCAACTATATTCATTGCGATTTGAACTTCAAGTAACTATTAGCTACTTTAGCAACTGGAAAAAAGTTCGGGGCGAGTCTGATCTTGCACTCACTTGTGGGACCCTTATTGGAGACAAAACAAAAGATGAGAAGTCATACTGCCCCCAAATATTCTTATTCATCTATCTCTTTTTTTAGCGTTCATCAGCATTATCGCAAACATTTTATAGGAGTTATCAACCGATGGAATACAAGAACAATTGTTACTACATTTCCAGTTTCGTTGCTAATATTTCCCACTAAAAGCAACCAAAATGTGAGAATAACCTGTAGGTTGTATTAACAGTGTAATGCATCCATGTGAGCTGATTATGGTGGCGACGTCCACTACTGTTGATTTGTAATTCCTTGAAAAGAAGGTTAATTAATTGATTAATGATTAACTAACAATTATGAATCCCCAGTAATGTAGATTATTTCTTGTTAATGATTGACTTTGTTTAGCAAGGGTAGCAAATGTTGCAACTGCCAATCCTGTATAATTTGGAAAGGTTGGTTTCTGTAGACAGAGGAAGAAAACCCAATTGAAATAAACCCAGAAAAAGCCCTTGGAACAATTAAAAGAACCCACATTGAACTCGAACCACATCTGATGTGGATCTGGAATTCAAACCCAGGCAACAATGCTGGGAGGCAAATGCTTTCACCGCTGTCTGCCCTGCATTCCTGCCAGCTCTGCAACAGTGCAACCATGCCATCATAACTGGTGACCCAACAACCTTGAAATAATCACTCAGACAAGCAGGGATTGTAGAGAGAAAATAATTCAACAGACAGTGATGAGTGTCACACATGTACAAAGGAAATTCCTTCAGCTGTTGGAGCTTGGCTGTTTTAATTATTCTTGTCACTTGTTGCATAATAACTTTTAATACATTTTTGTCATTTTCCCTCATTTTAGTCAACTTACCATGTGAAAAACTTGTTCCAAGATGGTTGGCGGAGGGCCTTTAGATCGTCGACCTCTGGACTGATTGTGGCCTTCACCAGTAACTGTTTTACGGACAACAATGATGACCTGCATAATACATGTAATTGAATAGTAACAGGGGTTTCAGTAAGTTTTAGTACGAGGTCACCTATTAGTCAAAAATAGTACTGGGTGAAAATACTTACAGTGCAGTGTAAGAATGAAGTTTGAAATTGTGCTGGGCCTGTTTCAAAAGCCTTAGAAGCACAGAAAATAGGGTGATGTGAGGTTGTGCCTGCCTTTCCAAATGTACATAATTATTTAGGAACAAGTATACAACTACAGGGCAATGGTAACAAAACAGATCTCACGCTCTAAGATGCAGTAACAAATTATCTCTGCCTTCACTGTTCGGCCAACGTCTGTACTGTCAGGGTATCAGTCATGAAACATACCCTATCCCCAGACAGTCTGTAATGACCCACTGAAACAGATGGATTACCACCGTGCTTGAGTTTCAGCCTTGGAATAGCAGTAACAGGTTCATCTGCACTTGTGTGAATTACAACAGTCCCTGTTTTAAAAAAATGTGAGAAAGAAAAAATACATAACTGTGAACTCAAAATTAAGCAAGGATATTAGTCAAGTTGATTTATCTCTCATGCAGTAAAGGTGTGACTCGCAATATTGATTTTGACTGATAGATCTTTACGAATAGAAGGCTGTCTTTTGAGGACAGAATACACCATTCTGAACTCTGAGATTTGCTGATTTGCGAAAGACCACTCCCTGTTATCACAATGAAAATAATAATTCCAAAATTTTCCAAACATGAAGCACTTTAATTTATAGATCACCAAAAACATACATGTAGTACACCAAACAAGATGTTTTAAGGCTGTGTTTCAAATCAAGAAAACAATCATTGTATGAAATTATCATGCCCTTACCATCAATAAAAAATCTCATGTAACGATAATATTCCACCACATGGAATGGCCGGTAGCACATATCCAGGTTTTTTTCTCCTTGTCTGATATATGAAGTCTTACTTATATAGACACCTGTCGATTAAGAATCACACATGTTTTTAATAAACTGCCTCCAAAACTTTGTCAGCATGTAAATGAGCAAAAGAAAAGAAAGATCAAGGCATAAAGTAAAGTTCAGGCAACCATCATCACCAATTCAATATTAACTCCATACCAACAAACAGAAGGTGTGGGCGTTCAATGTACATCAGTCGCCATGAGCCATTCCACTCCACGGCACTGCCACAGTTAACTCCCCAGACCCTGAAATACAAAGCCAGCACACAAAAATTACAATGCACAAGGTACTTACTTGAATTGCTAGCTCATAATCACTAAAACTTTACATGCCTATAAACTGGTCCAGCCTTCCAATTTGTTATTTGAAGAGCATAAAAAGTTGTCATTTATACATGTAGAAAGTATCATTTTATTCTACATGTACCTGAGACAAGCAAGTTTCCATATGTCTGGATCTCTAGCACAGGCATAAAAACCTTTACAAACCTAACAAGAGGAAAAAAAGAAAGCAAAACAAAAAATGTCAGAATCACGAGGGCTGTATATTACCTTTCATAAAAACACTGGCCAGGGGTGATGAACAGAGACAAAAATGAAGAGAAATTGAAAACAGTATGGTGGCATTATGCACATGGTTTGTGGGATGGATTCCAGATCAAGAATTCCAGGACTGAAGACTTATAGTGTAAGACTAAATACATGTACTGTACGATCATGCTGTCTCAGCTTTCTCCAGAAATATAAAATTTCTTAATAAGTGGTTACATGCAAATTATTGTTCTGAAGCTGAATGAGCTATTTTATTTGTTCATTTCATTTATTTATCTTGTTTTCATTCAGGATTTGATTGTAAAGACTTGTGTCTACTGATGTTTTTTTTTTCAATAAGAAATAAAGACCTCATTCATTCATAATTAGTAAAATATAAATTAAACTGTTTCTTTGTACCCGTCCCAAGTGTTCCAAAGACTTCATATCAAGCTCTGTGGACACTACCCACTTGAAAATATACATGATAAGTTCCAGAGGGATGGCAGAGATGTGAGTCATCTGGAAGAAAAAAACAAGAATATCT